AAAAAAAAAAAAGGATTTCTTGATATGATTTAGAATTATAAAATCAATTTGGAATTTCAAATAATAAAATGTTATTTATAGGCATTGGATAGGATTGTTTTATATTTCCGTATTTATTTCATTTTAATAATATATATATATTGAATAGAATTAGAAATATATGGATTTTCAAATTGGCATTTAATTGAAATGTTTTTTTTTGAATATGAATTGAAATTTGAAGCAGATAAATGTATGATAGCAAATGGAGAATAATGACAACGTATATTTTAAAAGGGATCCGTTTTCGAAGAGATATATTTAGGGAATGGCATTATCCGAGGAATAAATAGCAAACGTTAAATGGGCGAGGTTGGGGGGAGGCATTCGTAAGATTGCGTTTGAATTGGCAGGCATTAGTTGCGAAATTAATTACGTTTGGGGCGATAATTCATTCTAAATTACCATAAGGTCTAAATACGATTAACCTTAGAAATATTTTTCTTAAGAAATATGACGTTTTTTGAGGTGCGAGATGCTACTGATACCGCATTTTTCGAGAAAACCTTATAAATATCCATCGATATTTATATGGTTTCCTGGCATAAACCGACAAAAAATATTTGAATAGCATGCTTTTGGTGCATTTCTGCGGTTTCGAATAGCAAAATATATTGATATTTATAATTATTCAATTTTTTTGTAATTGAAAAAGGCTTCTCCGACACCAATCTGGGGAATTTTGTTTGATCTCTTTTTATGTATGCACGCCTCTCAAACGCAATTGCTAGAAGGTTTCGGGGTCGCGCTCGCGACGCATCCGAAAGAAACAAACAATAATTAGTAAAAAAACAAAACATCGAACAGACAACGAAATACAAAGGCAACGTCTGCCAATCTCTACTATAATAAATTAATTTATTTTGTTATTGCCGTACCATGCACCGACAATGCTGACAGAAGAAGCATGGCGTAGGAGTAGCCAAGCATTTCCAGGCGTCAAAATTTGCTTTGGGTTGCATTGAAAACAAGCCTGTCATCGGCGTCCCCTTCTTCATAATTCTGAAATTCAATGTTTTTTTCGAAAACATATTTTTTGTACAATATACCCAATTTTGTCGAGGCCGGCCGCATTCTTTTCCTTGCCATATTGCACCCTATTTGCTGATTGGGGTTCCAAAGAAATTTGACGTAGAGGGTCGGTATCCCGTGCCCTTATGACGTGCCCAAGCTAATGAATTTTTTTTCATGATAATGTGCCTTAAAAATTGTAATGCAATATTAAATATTTTCATAAGGATAAATAATAGAAATGTGTTTTCTGTACCACGGTCTTATTTGCATTGGCTCTGTCAATGAAAATGGGCGTCATCCTGAGGATTTTACTCAAGGCACACATTTATATATTTCTATTCTCCTCCCGTTATCTTGTCTTTCAAACCTTTTTATTTTCAAATTACAGATGTAATTGAAAATATATTAAATATAATCTATATAGTCAAAATATATAGATGCATTTGCAGAGCCAAGCAGGTAGCCAAGCAATTTTTGCGGAAGTCTATTCGGGCTACCAGGCCCTCTCCCGGCCGAAGGCCCTTCGTCGCTAGGCGAATACCTTCAGGTATAACGGGGCGCCCCCTGCCGCTCACCCACTCTTCACGTATTTTAATGTTTGGCTCAACATCGTCTTGGAGGTACCTCTTGTCGTCATATGGCGCCAACGTGGTGCCCGTGGTGTGAGTTATGCCGGCCGAAGCGGATCGCATTATCAACATCTTCCACGTTGCCTTTGGCGAGGTCCCCTTTCCAACACGAGCCACAACCAGAACGACAAGCATAACACCACCCACAACGACAACGACCACAACCACAACAGCAACAACAACAAGAACCACCTGGAGTTCGGACAATGTTCCATAGCCTTACTAACTATGCCGGGGGTCTTGCATTGGCTCTCTTGAAAATAGTTCTTCCTCATAGGATGCGGCTGGATGGTTATGTCCTTCTGTCAGGCTATGCCTCTCAAGCGTGCATTCATTGCTGCATATGCGCTGTCCAGTGTCACGCACAATGGCAAGAAAGGCTGCAATGACGCACGGGGTTGTCTAACTCTTGCCCCTGCGCTACGCGCTGTGCTTCCAAAATCACACCGACCACCACCAATTTCCCCAAAACGCCAACGAAAACGACAACGACTACCAACACAACCACAACCACGGCCACCACAACCACAACAACCATACCGACCGCCACAAGGACAACACCACCACAACAACAACAACAACAACAACAACAACCACAACCACAACCACAACCACAACCACAACCACGACCACAACCACAACCACAACCACAACCACGACAACAACCACACCAACCACAACCACAACAACCCCAACCACAACCATAACCACAAACACAACAGCAACAACAACAACAACAACAACAACGACAACGACATGTTGAGCCATCTTGGGGTTATGTGTTGCCATTTTGGGGCCTTGTTGGCCCTATGTAGGCCCATCTCGGGACTATCTTCCGCCATCTTGGGGCTGTCTTGGGGCCATCTTGTGTTATCTTGGGGTTGCGGCTGCATTGAGGCTGAGTTGGTTATATATGTTCAATCCTGGCCCCCGTCTGACACAGGGAGGCATTTTCCTTTGTTGCTTCTTGGCCCGCTGTTGGGCGTCAACCCCTTAAATACAAAATACGTTGCCAATATTCATTTCATTATTATTTAAATCTAACACGTTCGTGCTAAAAACACACTTTCGATCGTTCTGCGCAACCTTGAGGAAATATCCTTCCAAAAATGATTTCGTAAAAGGCAACAAGAGATCTTGCAAGCTAGCCAAGTTGAGGAACAACTAGCACCTCAAGGTTGCGACGTTGAATATCATTAAATTTAATTAATCATATATTAATATATAACATATTTCGATTCATTTCTTATTTGGAATAAATTTACGTGTTCACATGGGGGCCCGCTACGTATTCTTTATTTTTGACACACACGACTGCTTAATGAAGGAATCATGAACCAAACAATTATTGGCACCAAATTATAGGAGGCGTCAATAGCGTTGCACCATTTTCAATTGATCTCCGAATATCAAACATGCTTGAAACAAAAGATTTGTTGGAAATCAACTTTGGAAGGGTCTATGCTAGCATCTAGTAATATTTGCTAGCACGGATCTAGCGCAGCGCGTGGCTAGCGCATTAATACCTATTTTTCAGAATATGTCTGAATCAAATACTAGTGCAAATCTACCGCAAACCTAGCGCCCAATTGCAGAATAGGTGTATTTAATTGGGGGTTCCGCTACGTATTCTTTAGAGAATATATAGATTTTTTTCGATTCCTTTATCTATTTTTCTTAATAATAGATTTTTGGTCGGATTCCATATAAATATAAACAACATATTAATTTCATATAATATATTATATCTATAAACAAATAATCTATTTATATATATATTGCCAATCATATTTTTATAAAATAAATCAATAAATTAGAATATAATATATTTATATTTCAATATCTATTTAAATGAAAATACCTATTATAGATTCCATGGAAAATATTTAATATAAATATTATTCTTTTTAAAAATAAAAAATTAATTGTTGTATTCTGAAAAAAAAATGCATAGGCCTTACAAAAACCAAAACATACAAAAACTAGTCCTGGTATATTTTTTAGTAAATAAACCCAAAAACCAAAAAAATAAAACAACAAATAAACATAATCTTTGGACCCCCCCCCAACCTAAGACCTCCCTTTTTGGTTTATTCACCAAAGAATCTCCCAGGATGGTATTTTTTATATTCTTTTTTTGTTTTTGGACACCTATCCCAAGATAAAATTTCTAAAGAATTAATTATTATTATTTTGTATTTTGTATTTGAATACCTTATAATATTTCTAAATTGTAATTATTCTTCATTAATAATCATTAATTTATTAAAGATCTAGATTTTTATTAATATCAAATTTAATATTATCCAATTATTCTATATATTTATCCATATAATCCTCACCCCTATATAAATAAGGTATAGATATTTTCTAAATTCTATTCATTATATTTAATATATAATCGTAAGATCTATATTTTTAATATATATATCCTTAATTCAAATATATATTCCAATTTAATAATATATGTTTCAAATTCAATAAAAGAATCTTCAAAGGAATTTGCATTATTTTCCCACAATTTCCAATCAACCTCTTTTATAATATTCTTCCAAACCATCCTTTTTCTAAAAGAGATGAAACCAATATCTAAAAATATATATTATATTATTATCTTTATTCAATTAATAATTCAATATTTTATTCAAAATCTCTTATTAAAATATAAAAATATCTATCTTTATCATCAAAAATTATCAATAAATCAATATAATATTTAACGAACAACATTTTTATCTTCATTAACCAAATACATATTTAAATAAACTATTTATTACAATCGAATAATTATTATCAATTTCAAACCTATAAATATTTCTATTATCTATAAAAAAAATACTATCTTCCCAATTAATAATATCATCTTTCAATATATATTATATATATATATTAATTTTATTAATATAAATCTTTAAATAAAATAATATTAAATAATTCTCTATAATTACCTTCCCTATTAAAATATATCTATTCTAATAAATAATAATGTAAATCACCTTAACCACAATCAATATATTTCATTTAAAATAATATATCTTTTATACTATATTTAAATATTTATTCAAATCATTTTCATTATAAATATTAAATTCTATAAATAATAAATCATAAAGAATCATCATAAAAATTACATCTATTTTATAAAATATTTATATTTAACTAATCTATCTACGAACATAATTTTAAACAATATAATATATAATTATATATTTATTTATTTTATTTTTTTATTTTTATAAAGTAAATATATAAATATATCTTTCCAAATATTCAATCTAAATATATTAATTCCTTATTAATATATATGTAAAAAAATCATTCATCTATATATAATATTATTCTAACATAATCAATATAATTTAATTCTATTCAAAAAAATATATTAGACATTCAATATATTGGATTATTATTATTAAATCTTCATAACGCCAAAAATATAATTCAAACCAATCAATATAGAAATTCGAATTCAACGCAAAATCTTTTCTAAACATATTTTAGCAAATTGTTATGGCGAATACATGGTTGATTAACATTGGTCGATTTAATTCTCCATCAGGAAAAAGCCGTTTCGTTTTGGATCCCGTAACGCTGGCATCGGCATATGGCAAATATGTTTCCTCACCTGCCAGGTGAGTCTCGGTTGGTAGATTCTATCAGAGCTCTTCTCCTCTCCTCTCCTCTTCTCCTCCTCCGCCTCCTCCTCGCCAGCAAGTTGGAGCAAGTGGCGGATCGCACTGGGCACTACCGGACCTCAACACACAACACACAACATACCCACAAACACACGCACGATACACAATACAAATGATTGAAATATCATGGTGGGGACTCGAAGTAAAGAATTTTTGTAGATTAATGTATTCAGGATCATGTCAATTCTGAGTTCGAAATCGTTGAACCAATCCACACGTGATGGCCCTCTCAAGGCCATAAAAGGCCACAGCGAAGACCACTGCACCAGCAAAGCCTTGCCAAGCCACCTGACAGTTGGGTGGTTTGTTGGCGCAGGAAACCCGCCCAGTTGCATGGATAGTGGCTTTCAACACACGGAGTTTTATTGTTCACACTGAAACACTTGATGACAGTGACCCGTTCGAAACATGCATGCCAATGTTCACCGCGCCTGGGCCAGCATTGCCCAACTGAAATATCCCAGCGGTTCTCCGCAATTTAGTGGAAGGGCCTCACCACACTCACAGGACAAGTGGACATCTAAAACTATTTGCTTAAAGACCCCTTGAGGCTCCAGAAAGCACAGTCCATGCCCCAGAAACCACGGGTTGAACGGCCATTTGGAAGGTCTAACTCAGTCAGGTTTAACTCAGTTCTGGCAACTTCTGGGAGCTGAGAAATACGATTTGTTTTACATTTAATGCAATTATGGAGGACCTCTTTTACATGCATCGCTACGAACGTGACAAGGGCAAGAAGCTACGAACGTAGCAAGCAGCTACGAACGTAACAAGGTGCATCGCTACGAACGTATCAAGCACATTTGTACTCATCCGGATCCCACAGGTCTTTCGAATCGATGCCTGGCACTCAGCCGGCATTTGCACCAAAAAGAGTGCTCGTGGCAGCACAAAGGCTCCGATGACACCTGCGGGGGGGGGCTTAGCGGTGTCAGTGTGATGGCCCGGTGTGGATATAAATGGATCAAAGCCAAGCAAAAACTCTCTGCTGGACATGGCTTTTCACTTACCTTTTGGTTCGCACGATGATTCTTTGGTCAAAGCATTGTTACATTGACATGGGCCATGTGGACCATCGTCTTCGCTCGATCGTGCTCTGCCAGGGACCTGTCCTGTTCGCAGCATCGGATTGTCGTCGCCAGCGCGAACCGCATAGCGATACCTGGTCAGAAAGATCTGTCACGTTGCAACGTGACCAGACCGCCCAAAGTCACAGTGGCACATGGTGATGGCACAGGATGTCAACAAAAACGCTGCTTAACATGACTATGAATGAAAGACTGGACCCATCGTCGGATTCACGAATCCTTCAAAGCTGGGGAGTCGTGGAAGGGATATTTTTTCAAAAGTTGACTGGCATGACCTCAAAAGGATGACATGTTTCTTCAAATACCAACCAGGCGGTGTTCCAAACGATTAGTGATTTCATGATCCTCAACCAGGGAGCGCAAAAAACGGATCTTTTTTTAGAACTCCTTCTACGAGCTCTATACGTCCTATAGGCGGCTCCTACTCAATAGGTTACTGATCTCTGGCTTTGCAGTGCAAGGTTTGGTCTTGAGGCTGGTCAAAGCAAGCGTTGCACGGTAGGTTTTGGGTTTCTGAAGGTCCAACTTCAACAATGAGCCAAGCCGAAAACAATGAGAAACAACAAAACACATATGTTACTCATTGTTACTGTTACTCTCTCTCTCTCTCCCTCTCTCTCTCTCTCTGTCTCTGATGATCTAATTTCGGGTGGTCTCTTATATGTCCCACCGGTTCAGGCATGCTTGCCACACGCACCTTCTCCCTAAAAACTCGTTCTACAAGTAGCGCCCAAAGCCAACGCAACTTGCCAAGGTGCACCACTCCAAAAAGGAAAATGTCCAGTGCCAGCATGTCCAATTGAAATTCCCAGCGTGGCGTCAAGCGATCGGGATCTAGCAAACCTGGAGTTTACCGTTCAAAAGCGCTGGAAGGACCGGGGTGGTCGGGGTCAGTGCTCTCACCAAGACATTAAAATGCCAAGAGACCAACCTTGGTTTCTAGGTTGCTTCATAATCTCTGAGTACATCACCTTATTAGGGTGTCCACGTGGTGAAAACGACATATTTTATGGTTTGGGTGATCTAATTTACTTCATGTTCCAGGCCGAATCTCATGAAAAGACATGAAACAACACCACTCGCAGATACTCCTAGTGCATTAATATATATATATATGTGTAGTGGGCTCGTCAGAACATGCAAATGTGAAAAAATGACATATCAAAGAGCTAATGCCAATGAGCTACAACACCTTATCATCCAATGCAAGCTGCAAGCAACAAATAAATGCCATGACCTAAGGCCGCAAAAAGGGTCCTGAGAGCGTAGTTGAGCGGTTGATTGAATTGAACCCTTGTTGACCACTTCGAAAATGTGTGTGTGTGTGTGTGTGTTGGCATGCCACAAGGAGAAAGAAACTTAACCCGATCATGCATCAGTTGGGGAAACCATGGCCCGCATGATCAAGGGTCCTTTGGCCCAAGCTGCTTTTGAGGGGAATTTGAAGAGCCCTTTTTGTAACAATTCGGGTGCTGTCACTACATGTCACTACTCACTACAAATACATACAATACAATTAAAACTCATTCTGAGGGGCAGGATGGTGCAGATGTGTGCATTTATTCTGGTCCCTTTAATCCACGCGGATGCTACAAATTTTAAATATCTTCAAGTCCCACAGCGTTTGTGAATAGAGCGACGGTCTCCCCACCTGATGGCTTCGATTCTGACCAGGGGCCTTTGATTTCCTGGGGGTCTTCCTCCAAAAACAGCAAGAGACTCATTTGCAACACAACACGGGTATTAGGGTTTTCCGCTTTCCGCGTCCCAAAACCACCAAAACCCCACATAACCCACCCCACCTCTATCCCGGTGTCCACCAACCCACCTCTTCATTCCCGCCACGCCACTGATGGGTACCATGGCCACTGCGCCTGAGCCCACGGCCGTCAGACCCGCTTTGACGCTCTCCAGGCGTTCTTCGCCCACGAGGCCACGAAGGCCGCGGCCGGCGTCGGAGTCCAACAAGTCTTTGGCGCCATCTGAGCGGACGGAAGTCCAACAAGTCCAGTACAGGTTGGTCTGAAGATGTCTGAAGATATCCTGAAAACATCCCGAAAAACATGCTTACTATGTCAGAGCATCTTTTGGAAAATCCAAGTTTTCAAGATCCTCCCTTCCTTTGCAGGCCCACAGAACCACATACCCTGGGCCGGGTAAAGGTCGAGATCACCTAGACACAAACGAACGCAGCATAGAGTAAAGTATGAAACTACTAAGCAATCTCTGAAAGCATGGATCGTTTATGAACATCTATTCGACTTGGGTTGTTCCCTCAGAACTTCCAGCTAGATGACAGGATTGTTGCCAATTCTTCCTCAACCAGACTCAACCAGATCCGCAGACAGGACCAACACCCTTCCTATTTAGATGTTGCTGTGAAGTGCAAATGCTCGCGTCTGCTAAGATCAAGTCAAACATGTTGATGCTTTGCTTGTGACTCGTCAAAACCCGTCTCTCAATTCCCACTCCAACGGTCTACTAGCTCTAAAAGGGGAAACACGGTAACCAGCTCGTTGTTCTTTTGTTGACCATCTACACATTGTCTTTAACCTCCACAAATGTCGACGAGTTACGCAAACAAAAAAAAGGAGGCCGCCAGGCTGCCAAGATACTCCAAACAGAATCAACCCACCTTGGAACTGGTGGGTTTCAGCCACAGCACCATATATGGTTGGGCGTTTCTTACAAATCTCTATCGGACATCCCAAATGGTCCAAGTACTGCGATACAAGCACATTATGCATAATTCATTCAGCACACAAAGGCAAACACAATAATCTAAGTGCATGTTGATAAGATTCTCGATCTCTATTTGTGACGTCTTGAGTCTTGAGCACCTTTTCCAATGTCTTCCCAAAACGGTCATCAAAAAAAAATATATATATATATATCGTTTTATTATTATGGTGATAACACATGAGCAAACACCATTCGTAGCAAAAAATCATCCTGCAAAGAGGATTCAGGAAGACACATCTGACGATCGAAACCGGTCGTAGATGACAAAGAGCTGAACACCTGGTTCACACGAAACAACAGGTGCTGGTGAATATCGCTTCTCTTTCTGTTCATCCATGTTCATCCCTTTTCCATTTAACTTCGCCCGGAGCGCTCGTCTGCTGGGGTTGAGATCTCCGGCTGTGCACACCGCCTCACACCTCGGCAAAAAACGAGAGAGGGAATCCTTCAAATCCAGAAAAACCATCCAAATCACGCAGCAAACAGGCAAAGATACAATGTTAGATGCGACCTTGAACCGTTTCTGCAAACTACTTACTATTCACCTCAAAAACAGACACCCACACACACAAACATGCCGTTTTGTTTAAAGCAAGGTACGACGTAGTATTGACACGTGTCTCTCAACGTTTCGGCAACATGTGGAAACATGAAACTAAGTGTCCAGATCGTGGTGGTGGTGCGAAGGTCCAGCCAGCCAGCAAGCAAAGGATGAAGCAAAGCGCACCTTGCCGCGGGTATCCGTGGGCATCCGATCCGGGTATCCGGGTGTTCCCTGGGTAGCTGAATACCATTGTTGTTGTTGTTTTTCCCCTGCGGGAGGCTTACTCACATTGGAAACCTTGCATGGAGTAGGACATGAACGGTGCTCAAAGGCCAAAGACGCCAGGAATTCGTCTTGTTCCTCCACTCTGGCAGCGAAATTTTCACCGCATGGTGAAAGGAGCGCAATGACTCATCACTCTGGTATCCTCTGGATGTATACCCATCAAGTCGCAGATTGATTTGATTCATCCTGAGTGCACCCCATTGGTTCACCGTCGGGCTCATCCCGTCCCCACTCCACCTGACCGGCCGTGGAAACCACGGCGGAAGGTGAATCTCAGGCGCGTGGGATCCGCATGGTGTGCCATGGCACGGATCGTCGGGTGATGCAGGGAGATCACCCGTGCACCACGGGCAGGTTTGACAGGGTTTCTGAAGATGAACTCCAAGCCTGGTAGGGAGATACTGAACTAGAACTGACCACCAACCAAGGAACTGGGGCGACAATATACATATTCTGAGCAAACTCTTGAGCAATATATAATTTCTATATCATATCATGAGCATTGACATTGAAGAAGGAGATCATGCACCGGCATCTGGGGAATTTGTGCGAGATTCTATGGCTGAGGCTGCTGAGGTCATGTCACCGAGCTCATGGTTCTCGTGGTTCTCGGGGCTTCGCATGGCTCAACTGCGGTCAAGACCGCACTGGGTGGATCATGGGACCATGATGTCGTTACGTCGTTGATGCGAAGGCATGCAGCTTTGCAACGCTCTTGCCATCCTGCATGCAAAACCCAAGTCCAGTCCAGTCCATCGATTCACTCTTCGAGGAAGACTCGACTCCGCCAGTTCTCGTCCACCACATAGGGCGGACCATCCAGTCCACCATCCTCTCAAGCCCACGGGCGGCTCCAAGTCACTCGTCGGTGCTCCTTTTTTCTCACTCATTCGGTGCTCCCCTGACGTGCGGCCGAGCCGAAGAGCTTCTGTCCCGCCTCACAGGCACAGGCGCTCTGCAAGGACATACCCTGCATATATGCAAACGTTGCAAAAGAGTCCCTCAGCCACCTGTTTTGGGTTCACTGCAAGCAGTCCATTTCACCAAGACCCCCTGGCATCCCCTGGCGGTGTGCCGAAAACTCATATTTGTGCTCTCTTGTGTGTGCTCACGAGGCTACTCGTGCCCTTCGCATCCCTTCACAATATGTGTGCTCTCATGCTCTCATGCACGTGCTTGCCGGTCCGGATCCCAGAGCCTTGACATGCTGTGCCAGTCAAGTTTCCACGCTTACCTGGCACATGACCATCGCAAGACAAGCGAAAGCACGCGTTTCGCAAAAAAAAGCAGACACGCTCCATGGCTTTGAGACACGCTCCATGGCTATTTAAGGAATTGAATTGGAGAACCGTTTGATCTTTGCAAACTCCACAAGATACCATGTAATTCTGGCTGCTATTGACTGGAACCACACTCCTTCTGGCAGTCTTCTTTGAACTATCCAGAACGTGGTCATGCCCGGCCTCTGCTCTGACCGTGCCAAATCTCTCAACACCAACTAACCCAAAACAGGTCATTGGTCGTCAGTTCTTCAACCCATCTCCCTCATCTCCCATCCATCTCCCGTTGGCAACTTCAAGCCAAGCAGCTTCAGCTTCTTCTTGGGACGCAACTGGTTGCTGTGGCCGCACTTCTTCTTGCGGCAGTTCACCGCGCGCGCCTACCACCGATCGGAGACCGGACGGTTTTTACGGCGACCCGGACGGAGTCGAGCGACGGGACGGGGGTTGGTTGAAACCAATTGCTTCATGGAAGAGAATGGAACCACGTGTCACGAAATAGCATTTGGGGTCGGACCGCATACAATGCCTACGCAGGGCTCAGTGCACGAAGAACAAAGGAGCTTCCGAAGCAAGGAAACAAAGCAGAACGGAGAACACCCAAAGAAATTCAGCTTCTGCGGTGCCGCTAAAAAAGAACAATTTCCGCTAGAACACGACCAAAGCACAAAAGACAAATACGCACCCCGAACACATGGAAAACAATGTTCTTTTGTTTTGTTTTTGCTTCTAATCAACTGTTCACCCCGGTGGTATCCACTGGCTGGGTATGCCGTATGCCTGACCCACGACCCGACCCGTTTTTTGTGAGGCTCCGGGCATGGAGCCGAGCGTAGCACTTGCGGCAAATCATCTTCTCACAGTTGAACTTTCGCGCAAGCACCTTGAGAGGTTTGTGAGCCGGGTCATATGGAGACGAGCTGCCTTTTTTGGCCCATTCTAGATCCCCTAAAAATCCAAGTACCTTCTCAGAAGGCTCCAAAGCTACATAACAGTGCCTCCAATCACCTTCTGAGAAGGTACTTGGATCCCTAGGGGATTCTAGGCTCTAGGTGTATCTTTCCACCACGAGCTGTTGCGTGAAGAACAGTAGATAAATGATTGTCCCAATTCTTCGCCACATCCACCTGTTCATCGCCACGTGCTATGGATGCCCAAATGGTCATCCACCAAGCACCAAAGAACCGTCCAGACCCCGGTCACCGGCGCGACGTGGTACACACTGGTCCGGGAAAAGCCAAATCTAAGCAAATGCATCTTGCTGGTGTCAGACCCTTTCAAGCATGGTGCGAAACCAATTGCAACAAACCTTCGCACACCCAGGTAGTTGTGCGATGGGCATCGGTTTACCAGGAGATGGAACACATTGGGTGGCGAACAAAGCAGGATATAGGTAAGTAGCACAAACATGCACAAACTATAAAATAACATGAAAAAGTAAGTACAGCCCACCATCTCAACATCTTGTTTGGTATTCCAACCTTTCGCCTCTTGGTTCTTCACAATCCCAGGGCGGATGACACCAAGGCGCTGCCAAGGAGGGCTCGATGACACCACCGCGGAGGCGCAAGACCAAGTGTAAGGTCGACTCCTACCGTTCGCTCGGGGAAGCTCTGAGGGGGGCAAGACTGGGCAAGATGACATGGCTTTCCACGTGAATTTGAAAGAGAAGTTTGAACTGCACTGAAGTTCCAATTTCAGGGCGGAGCTGGTGGAGCCGACATTCAATGTATTTCAATTTCAGGTCGAACTCAGGGTCACCCCCAGAACTGACCCATGGACCAACCAGTGACCTCCAGCCCCCGTGCAGTCAGGACCCCCCCCTGAGATATCGCCTTCTGAATGTTGTAGTCCGACAAGGTTCGGCCGTCTTCCAACCTGTAGCGGTCACGCTTTGCCAAGAGAAAGCCGTAAAAGGCTCTTCTGAAGCTGTGTCCAGCCCATACCTGTGACCTGTTCACTTCTGAATTGATTGGAACAACCTCAAGCACTCCCGGACCAAAGGGACCCAAACGAAAGAGAACTCGAAAGGTGCCACCAAAAAGAATCCTTAACACATCATTACACCAGAAATCAGGCAATGAAGCAGTGGCCCTCTTTTAGCATGTCCCTGATCCTACACACTCAAGCTCACTTGCACTTCTTTTGCTGGTCTACAGCAAGAACTAGTATATAATTCGGGCTTGCGTGCGCAACTGTGCAAACACCTTTTGGACCCGATACAAAAGGCTATCCTGCATGCAGAGTTTCCTGCTTACAGGAAAGAAGAGTAGTGCAGTAGCAGTCTCTCTCAGATGATCAATCCGTGGGCTAGGAAGCCAGCTCATGGCAATCAGCGGCATGGGTTGGTTAGGGTGCATCCTTGTGTGTCCCACCACGGAACGCCTTGATCGAACAGGTCCCTCCACTTGATTTTGGTGCCGTCCACGTCCACTTCTAAGTCGCAGCAACCGTTGTCGGGAATGCACTTGAATTCTGCTTCTATCTCAGCGCAACCTTCATGTGGGGGCGAGTTATCGAGACAGCTTTGCAATTCATGCTCATTGCAGCAGCCTTGCAAGGCAACACCAAGCATGTGACCTTCATGCTGAGAACTGCCTGGCTGGAGGTATAAGGAGCGCCAAGAAAGGAGGAGGGTTACACGACAAGTACTGCATTTGAGCCAAATACTGCCAATGTGAAATTCCGTTGAGTGAAGTAGTTGAAACAAACTTAGTCTACAAGTAAGAAGTTGTATGGAAACATGTCTTGATGAACATTGGATTTCAATCATTCTCTTTGTGCTTCCATGGTGTCTACAGTGTATACAGCAAGAACGAGTAATTCGGGCTGGCATGCGCAACTGTGCAAACACCTTTTGGACCCGATACAAAGCAGAGGTTCCTGCTTACAGGAAAGAAGAATAGTGCAGTAGCAGTCTCTCTCAGATGATCTGTGGGATGAGCTAGGAAGCCCCTCCATACAAAAGAATCTAGGAGGTCTTCGCTCTTCAGACCACTGAGAGTCTGCCGTACTCTTGCCTCCAAATCTCGAAAAATGTGCATCTCCAAACAATAGGCTTCTACCAAGTTCTCACTGCCGCCAGTAGGACTCTAATAGACCCACCAGTTCCCCGAAATGACCTGAAATGATCCACCACTCTCCAGCTCTCCCCATCAAACGACGCTTCGGTGCCCCAACTGCTTTCCGGCGAAGATCAGGCGCTGCTGGTCCGGAGGAATGCCCTGGTTGGGAAAAAGAGCGGCTAGTTAACCTAATGGAGACTCTTGATTAATCTTGATTAACAACCCCCCCATGGGATTCTAAATGATTGTAAGATCTCTTCCTGTCTTCGGGTTAATCATTTATTAATCTAGATTCTTCATCTGACTGGTGCTTAGTAGGGAATGAGGGTGGCTGGATCCAATAGAATCTCTATTAAGGGATCATTCCCTCATTCTCTACGAGTCGCACCAGTCAGTCATGTCGAGGGGAGTCAATGGCGACCCTACATTGGGGTTCCATACTTCGGATGGTCGTGCCGGCGGACGAAACGTTTCGGCGGACCCATTCTGAAGGGGGCCGAGCCCAACCATACAGATGTTGTGCAATCCTCACGGTCAGAATACCTGAATACCCTGGTCATTTCTTGGAGTACCGTAGAACAGTCCAAACGAACGACTCCAATTTGTATGTGTGTGTTTTTTGCGCAAGCCGCGCTTGAAGCTGGCTGGATCTGAGGCACAGTCCAAACAAAAGAAACAATTGCTTGGGATGTTGCTGACACACGAAGGTCGCATGGATGTTTTGTGGTGGGAAGTCCACGTGGATTGGATCGCATGGATATTGAACATCAGACCAGTGGCCCAAGTTTTGGAAGGAGAAGCCCTAAACTATGTGGTCTTCGCATGGGCATGGGTTGACCAATGTTTGCTCTAGCATGCTCTAGCCAATCACTTGCATGATCCAAACTTGGGTGATTTGCCCATTCACAGTAGAAAGATCATAACAGTGACCCGCATGCCTCCAACTGACTCATGGCCACCACAAGGGCAATGATGCACTTTCCCTATCTAGCAAACCCCTTCAACTATACCTCTGCTCTCTGTTGAGCAAGTTTTCAAATGGTCTCTTCCTTATCCACATTGCCCATCGATCAAAGTCCATCCGTTCCTCCTTGTCCTGGATTTTGGCCTTGGTCAACAGCTGTGTTGCTACATCAAATCTGGCTGTCATGGATCTTAACCCGGGACATTCATTCCTCAATTGGATGCCTGGCATCCAAATCTCTCTATATATATGATATGATTCATATTGACATTGATTCATATACTGTATTCTACATTGATCATCCGGATCATCTGCATGCTCAACACAGCCTGTTCAATCCAAGGACCTTAACATTGTCAATGGTGTCCGATGCTTCCACATCCAGGGTGATCGTCTTCCCCGTAAGGGTTTTGACCTTGGGCGGCTGACTGTGCACTGATCCCATGAGCATGCGGATCCAAATCGGCATTGCACAGCAAAAACAAAACAGGAGCGATCGGACGCTACGTTCGGGGCTCCTGGCATCACTACTATACTAGGAGCAATGTTTGCTATTAGCAAAAACAAAACAGTCTAGAAACATATCACAACTAGAATCTCTAGACAGAATATAGACAATGCCCGACAAATTGTCTGCTATGTCACCGTTCAATTCGGGAAGCTAAAACATTACCTGGCCCGAAGGTTTCAATAATTTTTGGTGGCCTTGCTGGCACTAGATCAGTACTCAACTTGAAATTGCCTCCTTGGTGGCCAGGTGGGAACTCAGCATCTACAAAGGATATCTGTCTCAACCACCATACATTTTCAGGATCGTGTTGCATTTTGTCTCGACAACATAGAGGGTCGATCATCAAACGGAGCCAGGGCACGAAGATCTGCATGGTCACAGCAAATCTTGGAGCACTTGAGCCAATATTCCTCGTGAGATACAAAACCAAGCGCTCTTCCTGCATAAGAAGCTTTCCTGAGCTAGCTAGCATAGTGCTTGTGTGTCTTTTATTTGAGCTTGAATGACCATAGATAATATGAGATCTTTCTATAGTATAGAGAGAGATCCTGCGTGTGTTGTTGTTGCAGCTTTTATGAGCGACCATGAATGACCTGCCCCCACTTTGGGGTCTTTCCATGTCTTTCACCTGTTACGAACATCTCGCCCGCCACCACTTGAGTGAGACTGGAGTGAAAACACACGACTGGGACGAATACATGATCATTCTCGTTTGATCAGCATCTCTCTTGTTGGTGACCTCCATCTCCATCGAGAAGCCAACGATTAGAATCTCCGTCAAGAACCGTGAATTTAAAGGATACTTTATGATACTTTCCTAACACTCCATGGCAGATTTAGGGTGAAACCTCAGTGGTGTAGAATGGTGTAGATCAAGACTCTATTGATTTGCATGGATTCTCAGGGCAACCGTGGAAATGTCTTATCTTGCTCGATGTAAAGCGTAGTCGTTCGCCGATGACTCACGTGAGCCTTTTCCATCGAGAGCGATCCATGATACGGCCGATCGATCGGCAGATCAGCACGGCTAAGCGGTATGCCCGTACTGGTCCAATCTGAAGGGTTTGAATGATTTGCATGTGCCGGATGCTTCATGCTTCTACGAATGTACAGTAAACCAAGTTTACTTTGCAGGGTGAATTCCGTCTTTTGGACCAATGCTTGACATTCAGTGCCATGCCTTCTTTGACGAGCGAGATGAAGCTGTACACATCTCATGCGCTCGCAAGGATCCAAGAACCCTTGTCAAAATCTCTGCAGGATGAGTTCATGATTTCCACAAGACTGTCCTGAAGCTTGATAGAAGTCTGCCACATGCCTCTAATGACTCAACCCGACCAACAGCAGCACAACGGCAGACAGGCACTATCAGCATCAACACGACATCTCATTTGGCCATCATCATCTTCACAAATTCTTCATAGCCTCGTCACTGCGTCAGGAGTGGTGGTCAGACACGACAAGGACAGCAAGGGGGTGGCCATCAATCCGGATTGATCCTCCAATGTATCATACAACACACGTATCTCACTTGGAAAATCAATCACATCCAGGACAGCAGTGATGACATGTCTTGATCGCCACCATCTGTATCTATCTCCTTGTCCCCCAAATTCATGCAAAGAATCCAAGAATAACATTGATAAATTGGCCGCATTAGCTCCAGTCCTTAACATCACAGCACAAGCCCACCCCTCGCTGTCCCCGAGGACGCCAAGGCACGAATCCCTCCCCCGCCGCGCACGGTGCGCACCGGCGGGACGCGGGCTCCTGCGATGGGAGTCCAAGAGGGGGAGCAGTGACAAGACCGACTGGTGGGTCCTTCCAGTGCAGTGAATGCCCGAGCATCAAGCTGCGGGAGAGCCCTGGGGGTCAAGCTTTCATACATCTACGTACACAAACTGGTTTGGTCTGGCTTCGCACCAATGGTGCAGGTGTCTCACTTGAACTTTGGATCTAAAAGAAATCACGCATTTGGTTGAGAAACGTTGACAAGTGTGGGATGCTTGGGATTGCTGATGGCTGGCCAGCCCAAAAATCTCTCAGAAACCACATCAGGCAACAACCAACCAACGATGGATGAATCGTCCAAGTCTGTGGAACAGTCAACTGCTTTGGGCTCAAGGGTACCTCACCAGTGGATTGTACTGAAACTTGCTGAACATCACACTATATAGGTCGTGTATATACATTTTGCCAACCTGACGCGACCACACATGTCCCTCATGTTCCTTCCATTTTCTTCAATCAGGATCTTTATACAAGGTCCGTAACTGGGATCTTGCCGCCTTGGCCGCCGCCTTGGCCACCGCCTAACCGGGACCCGATCCAAGCCACCGATCCAACTGACTGAGGTGATTTGACAGTCATGTTGATGACTGTTGATGGTTAAATCATCTTCGTAGGTTGTGAAGAACAGTAGGGTGCCACGTAAGATGGTTAAATCATCAACCCCTTTAAAGATGCTTGGACATTTATTCCGTGTCAGGAGTCCACCTCTAATGGCTCCCGATAGTTTGTCTTGGCAAGGATGACTGGGCCGATGCCGTAGCGGCTATCTTCTCCAAAGGCTCCCGATATATGGGCCCAATCAGCCAATGTGGAGAGCTCAAAGCTGGTAGATCGTCGTGTTTTTTGGAGGTCCACGACCTGTTTTGGAGGAAAGGACAACCTCCCGGATGTTCAACACTCCGAGTGTGGCTACCAGATCCAAACAGGTCGAGCTCTGTTTCTGACCGGTGACGACGACGATCCACCCGGGTGGATCTCATCTCTTTGGGGTGGCCGACGGACCGAGCCTAGTAGCGATGCCCTTTGCTCCTAGTAGTGAGGCCTTGCTCCTAGTAGTAAGGCCAGGAGCCCCTAGTAGCGTCCATTGCTCCTAGTAGCGTCCATTGCTTGACCTCGAGCCTAGAGCCTCGAGCTGGAACCAAGCGACCGACGGAGCGACGGAGGTGCACCGCTCCTGAGGCTCGAGTGCACTCCACCGTCTTGGGCCACACTGGCGCGACCTGCTGTAGCAGCTCAAGCGCCTGAGTCCTGGGGAGAAGAAGGAAACAACTGAGGTGTGAAGAGGTGTGAAAAATGTGGTTCCAGCGAAAAAACTGCTATACTCTATAGATGTGGTAAACATACAAATAATATCCAGAAATTTGATAGCTAGCTTGATTCAATGTTTGTCCTTGCAAACATATCCCAAGTAGATCTCTTAGGTTTGACTCACAGCCATCACAGCCTCACAGCCATCCCCGTTCTTAGACCTTCCAGGTTGGGGGATTTGTCCAAACTTTGTTTCACATTAACGTACTCTCAAGGTGAAGGGGGGGCTCGGACCACCAATGCCGCGTTCTTTAGCGCAGCATCTTCTTCAGCAGCCAAACCACTAGAATCTCACAAGTCGTTGGCTCTCTTTGGCCAGTTTCTGGGGCCCGGAGTCCGGGACAGGTTGTGGACGAACAAAACACACCGTAGTCCGTTCGACCCGAGGCACACGAGGCTTTCGCTTTGAAGCCAAGCTCGAGCCTTTTGTCCCAAGAGATCCTCAGATCCGACAGGCGTCGTTTCGCCTCACCGCTCAACCGCGACGCTCGTGGAAGACATCAACACCCCGGCCCCAGTGGATCCTGCATCATCCTTTGTAGAAACAAAAGGCAAAACTCCGTTTTGCAAGTCTTGAGTCGACTTTCCCACATCTATGAATATTGTCTTCATGTTTGGGGTCTGCAACGGTGTCAGTTTTTCTCATTTTATCAACTCAATTTCTCGGAAACGAGTCGTCTCTATCTTCTGGGAAACCACTCTCTCCACATGTCACTGATCCGCCAAGAAACCCAGTCTGCAAAGAGTCCTGCGCAGTTTCAAGGCCGCAGCCCAACACGACAGGGTCTCGGGACACCACCCATGGTGTCCGTGCTTGGACTCGAACAAAACACGCAGACGCTTGGGGCTTACCTCACCTCGAACTGGCTGGTTTTCTGAAGTAAAGTAAAAGGTGAAGCAGGCGGTTCAGGATGTCTGTTCAAGGTGTCAGTTCTCCCCGATTCACTGATTCAATTTCATGTGTGAACTGTCAGGCCGTGAACTACGAGGAAACAAAATCAACCTGCCAAAACACAGCTGGTGGAAACACATTAGCAAGGCTGAACATGGCAGAAAATTAAAGGACCGGATAACCCCACATATGAATCTTTACGAATCGTAAGTTTCTAAAGCACAAAGCAGTCAGAGTCTCAATAGCTTCTACAACATGGCCTTGTCAGGAATTATATCAGAAATACACAACAGAGGGGTGGGAGAGAGGTGTGGGAGAGTAATGTGCACGGCGGATGTACGAGGTATTGTGCAGACATGTGTGTACAGCCACAACTAATCACAATGGAGGAACGGACCGGCGACCACCGCCGACCACGCAACAGCCAGATCCTCTAACGGAGCATGGAGGTTCACACAGTGCTGTACCTGCCACGAATTCTGCACATGGAGGTTCACAAAGTGCTGTGCCTGCCACGAAATCTGCACATGGAGGTCACAAAGTGCTGTGCCTGCCACGAAATCTGCACATGGAGGAAACAAGTGAAATCTCTAATCACAATGGAGGAACGGACCGGCGACCACCGCAGACAACCGCCGACAACGCAACAGCCAGAGCCTCTAACGGAGCATGGAGGTTCACAAAGTGCTGCGCCTGCCACGAATTCTGCACATGGAGGTTCACAAAGTGCTGTGCCTGCCACGTAAGATGTATGTGGTCTCTGTGTGTGTGTCTCTGTCTGTGTGATCTCGGTGCGTGTTGTCTCTGTCTGTGTTGTCTCGGTGTGTGTTGTCTCTGTCTGTGTTGTCTCGGTGTCTGTTGCCTCGGTGTGTGTGGCGGAGGCGGAGGCGGGCAGCGGACGGGAAGCGGGATGAGACATAGAAAAGAAGAACCCCACACTAAGATGTGGGGAAAAAGACACATGTTGGAATCACAAACACTGGTGCACTGGTGCACCCGCCAGCAGACTGCATCTGCCCGCCCGAGTGGTCATTTGTGTCAATGGTCGTTGGACAGTTGATCAACGATCATGTCAAAGTGTTCATGGGGAGCACGCTCCCTTGTTGGTATGACCAGGAAGGATCCACGACCGCCGAGTTTGGAGTTCTCGTAATACGAGTTGCGCCTGGCAAGTAAAGTTGCAGCGCGGCAAGGATTAGTGCGGTAGCCCAGCCTGACACAAAACAGGACTGCAAGGAATTGAACAAACAATTTGCCTATTGAAACATCATGAAACATCCTACATTTGGTCATCTAAGGGGCTGCTATTTACAGGTAGGGCGGTAGAACTTGAAGAGTTGTGCAATCTTCTCAACTTCACTGAGTCAACAAGGTGACCTGCTTGAAGCTTCGACTGAGAATGACCAAACCTGTCCGCGATGTTTCATCACCAAATGGTGACTCAGAAGTACGAAGTGATCTTCTGCCCATTGCGTCCTTTACAGAGTTCACACACCATCCGCTCCTGTGCCTGCGCCCGAGCCGCTCCAAACAGCTGCTGGCAACCCTAGGATCTCCCGCAGTTCCACGCTGTCCAGCCAGGCACCATCAAAGCCCTCGAGTGTGGAGCTCACATGCCACAAGTGATGGAAAAAAGGGTTCGTTTTTAAAAAGGATGCAAAACAACCACACATGCTCGCAAAAACTTAAATATACTTAAATAATGTTCACCTTTAACCCCTGAACCGCAGATATTCACCCACGATGTGTTTGCACCTTCAGTGTTGAGCGGCATTTGCTCAGGCCCTACAAAAGTTGGCGACAAAGATCGCAAACCCTCCAGATATTGCATATCATTTACATAATTTTACATCGTGCGTTTTAATTTGTTATGACCTTTGGCTCTGCAAAAATAGTTGGTTTATCTTGATCTTATGGAGGCCTCGCGAGTCAGCAATCCAGGTCCAAAGGCAAAACAAGTCAACAAACGCGTTTGATCTTCACTTGCTATGTGACTATGTGTCTCCATTCTAGCGACGGTGAGGTCGAGCAAACTTAGCCAAGGAGTTTCTGCTGCTACGAAGAGCATGCTGAAACACTTGACATGTTTGGACAATTTGACACGTTGTCTGACCTGATGTGGAAGACCTTACTTCATGGCAGGCCAACAGTATGTGCAAGTCTTGAGCCAAAATCAAGAGAAAGGATACAGATGAGGAAGGTTCAGCGAATAAGTCCTCTGATGATAGAACGTAAAAATGAGCCTAGTGACAATGATGAGGATGAAGATGGAGTATATAGAAATGAGGCAAAACCAGACAAGTGCGGGGTAGAGTCGTCGCGGACGTGAACATGGTCGCGGGAAGAGTTCGCAAGGCCCAATTGCCAATGTTTCTGGCGCAGTGTGTGAATATTCATATACTTTGAATTGTTTTATATAGCCAGCTTGTTGGCACTTCATCGGATGAAAGGCAGTGTTCGTCTGTTGAAGGATATTTGACATGTGTGGCTATATGTGGCAATATATCTTTTGATATCTTTTGACAGGAAAACGTGGTCGTGGTGCCGGGCAAGATGATGTGGTGGCCTCAACCTGGAAACCAGAACCCTTCTTTAAACTTATTTGCACTCTTTTTTGATGTAGGCATTGTCATTGTAGACACTGCCAGGTAGTCGAGAAGGAGAAGGTTTCTGAAACATACTTGAGAACTCTGGGAATTTGACGGCTCAAGACAAAACGCCTCAGGCAAGGTATGCTTCGAAGAGCGCAGCCCAAAATACAAAACCGGACGCAAACGCACTTCTCGAGAGCTCTTCTGGTTCAACAGTGAACATGAGAAGGCCTGCTGCGCACAGCTTGTAATAAGGGATCAAGGGGAACAAATCAAAATGCGCCGGCACGAATTGAGAAAACCCTTCATGCCTCCGCAGCCTTATGCTTCCGGTTTGTTTGTCGTTTTCTGTTCTGCTTCTTCTCTCGCTTTTTAATGAGCATGAACACTGTCAAAGGCGTATAGCACTGGCACTGGTTGGCACAATGTGGCAAGGAAGGGCGGGACTGCAAGCGAGCGCAAAGCGAGCGCAAGCAATGCAGCACATTTACATAGCCCGCTTGAAGAAATTGAGCTGAGGCATTCTTGGGCAGTCAACCTTGAGCCACAGAATCGGTTCGACAAGGGTTTCACCTACTCGACCGATTGTGCTTCGGTTGGTGCAAGAAGGGGAGTCTTCTGCAAATATTCCTTGCGCACGTTTGCATTAAGTAGCTTCCGTTCGGTGAGTAGTATACTTCCCGCAAGCTGCTTGAAGTTGGCAAACACAAAAGTTATGGATGAGAGGGGGCGGATAAAAATCCCAGGGTTCTTAAAGTCAGGATGTTAGAGATAGTGTAGTGGCAGCATGTAGACCCTTAATTGACTGTTCTTTTTGAAGCTTCGCCCAACAATTCCCAGCCAGCACTTGCTAACTTCGTCTTGAGATGTGCAAAGCAAGGGATGCGATCAATTCCCCAACTCTGGAAAACAACAAACGTCCAAATGCAAATTGGAGAACAGCTGATTTTGTGTTAACATGTGTTTACCATTGTTAACCCAAGATGGACCGAGCAGCAAGCAAGGCTCTCTTGTAGCATTGAGGCAAGAGCGTCAGCATGAATCTGTCAACTATTATATTACTAATATATCCTCTGTGGAATAAGCGGTGGGGGTTGAGAACCCCATTTTATAGTGATAAATGACTGAACCAGGCTCTGGGAGCACAATGCCCCACTATAGAATCTAGCTTTCAACCCTTGTAGTGTACAGCATAGTTTCTCTATAGAATAAAGGGAGTCAACCTTTAACGCACTAATGTAACAGAATTGTAGGCTCAAAATCTGAATTATCCAATAGAAACGGCCAGGGGTGGTCCTCATTCTATAGACAAGTGGGTGTAACATCAAAGCTGACATATTATTTTAGAGGAAAGCTACGCAGCAATGGCAAAAGAGGTTGGCATTTTATTCTAAAGAAACATGATTGAACATTGCAAGGTTGAAATTCATTTAAAAAAAAAAAAACACATGGACAGAAAATGACACTCCAAAAACAAGATATGTCTATAGAGGTTGATATTCATTTTATAAGGACAGGGTTGGACACTCACAGGTTGATTTTTTATTTTAGAAAGGTGGGCTGAATTTTGAACAAACAAATCATTTTATAGTGGGCCAATATTCACCGGTTATTCCACAGGAAATGTGGGAATGCATGCACCAGATTGCTCAAGAATGCGCCGGATATTTCGTGAAATCAGAATCAGAATCCAACCTACCTCATTGTAAAACATCCATCCACTCTAAAGTAAACTCTCAACCTTCTACTGTTCCAGGTTCTCTCTATAGAATCAAAACCATGTCCTCTATAAAATGTCCTCAATTGTCATGTATTTTCTATAAAACTATTGACCCATCAATATACAGTATGATTTTCTCACCTGTCAGAGATCCTCAGAGTGGATCTGTCTCAGGTAGGTTGACATTTGATTCTAGAAAAAAACTATCTATAAAATGCCAGGTCATTTTGGAGCTCGACCTCCCCCATTCTATAGGGGTTATTCGGCAAAGGATACTAATATGGTAATATGCTGTAATATGATGTAATATGCCATACTTGGAGTGTCTGGGTATATACGTATGTAACCGTATGTACAAACACTATGACAATTCCACCGGTTCCATGGATTGGGCCGCTGGGTTGAATCCTCAGTGATTCTCAGATCTTCTCTCTGAACAGTTCTAAAGAGATTGAGGTCAAACAGGACTCTGATTCTTCCACTGGTGTTCTCCGGACTACACTCCAAGAACACATCCAACTGTTCGAACACTATAGTCACTATGGTCCTTGAACCCCCCGGATAAATATATCCATCCCGAAACCCACCCAAACCCTTGAAAAAGGCCACCAGGCCGGGTGTCCTGAAAAGGCCTTCAAGTCAAGGGCCAAACAGCTGGACCCCCGTGCTGTCATGTGCTATCGGCGCGGTGCACCCGACCTGTAAGAGGATCAATTCCTGCAGCCAAGCCTGGCGGCTTTTCTTGGCAACGGTGAACGACGGTGAACGGAAGGGAATTTAACCCAAGGGATATAACATGATACTTAGATTACAACGCCCACGTCGTCAAAACCACATGGCAGAAGACCAGGTAAACCGGTCATAGCTTTGATTGGCACTCCTCCAATCCTGATCAACATCATCATGCACTAGCGAATGTGGCGATGGATCAATGCACACCTCAGCATCACTCTTGCTGGTTGTTTGCAGAGGTGAGGTTGGTTTTGGTTGAATTTTCACTCAGTATATAGTGTGAAGTGTTTGAGGGTTAAACGCAAAATGTTGGATTGGCTCATAGCGGTCCCCAAGGCGGGGCCCTTCATTCTCAGCCTCCCATTTCTCCGTGAAAGACCAGGAAATCCTCTACACCCCGGGAAGTCACTTCCAGATTGTTGGGTCGAGGGCTGTCGCTTGGGACCACATTGAGTTCAACTCCGCCCTACGGTTTTTAAGGCGAGAGATGGTGAGAACTCAGGTTTGTCAGGTTGCCGCTCATGCCTCACTTCACCCACCGTCAGCCATAGGCTGGCGCCCTCATGCCCCCACCGTGGCGACCCCACGGACGCGGTTGCCCGGTCGTGGCGGTGGGTAAGTGATTCCAATGGATCCAATGACTTGATGGTCCTGTCCCTTTTGGAATCACTGAACCCACCCACAGTTCATGTTCTGCCTCGCTTGCTCCACTACTCCAATTGTGCCACTGAGGCATGATCCTTTTTTAAATTCTTCGACCAGTTGAGCACAAATAATCAAAACGTACTAGCAGCATCAGCAAGAAGCATCCCATCATCAAATGGCTTGACCAAAGGATGAAACGTCAGTTAGCTGAGCTACCCTGTCCTGTCTTTTCAGAGCTTGTCTCAGTTACTAATTCCTTCACCCAGCGAAAAAGCGCTGCCCTCGCCGGTGAACCCAGAAAAAGGAACCGCCCCTCGACTCGACTCGTCCCCTCGGCTTCGCCTTCTGCGTCGCCTTCAAGGCCGCGGGATCCACGAGGACGGCGTGCGCTCCTCCATCGCTGGGAGACTCCTCGCGAGGATCGCGCGTTCCGTTCGCTGCAGCGAACGAGGTCCACGTCGCGTCGGTCCGGTGGCTGACACCGGGCGGTGTTCCGGATCCTTCGGTGTGAGGCGACCCTAAGCGGCTTTGTGCAAGCCATCGGTCAGGCAAGTAGTTTCCAAAGGTAGATGGAACAAGCAGAGTCACCGTGTGGACATGTTTTGAGGTTTGAGGGATATGAATTAGGTGTTCTTTGAAACCTGGGACTAGTCGTGGCCAAGTCTCATCTCAGCAAGTCTCTCATGACTAGTCAGTCGTTCATCTACGAGGCACACGACCATCTCACTCGGTCTCACCGTTTTTCTTGGGTCTTCTGTAAAGCAATTGGCAAAACGCTCTAAGTTGGTGGTTTTGCCGCTCTAAGTTGGTGGTTTTGCCTGCAGAATTGCACCTTATAATCAAACAAGTGTCCTTTGATGGGAATTCTTTGTGTAGCACCTCTCTGGACCTCTCTGTGGCACCTCTCTGGACACTGCTCTGAAGTCTCCAGATCAATGGCCATGGCGTCCGTATCACTGCGGCATGTCCCATCGCCCCAAAGGACTCGATGGAACAATCATATATACGTGTCCAACCCTATGGGTGGCTCGAACATGTGTTACTGGTGCTTGATCGTATCCACATACCCGACGTCGCCCACATCGGCTCCACCTCTCGCGGCTCCTGGCGCTCTGTGTCGAGCGCGTCCCCGTCCACATCGGCCTCGCGGATCATCTCATCAATCTCTTCGTCGGTCAACGCTTCGCCTGAACCGGGCCACGCACGACGACGCGAAGACGCGAATTGGACCGAGTCAAGCACCAATTGGACCGAGTCAAGCACCGGTTTCGTGTTCGAGACGCATGGTTTTTGGGAGCCGACCAAAGAGGTACAAACACCGGAAAGGGCCGGAAGTGGACACCGGCAAAAACGTTGGGGATTACGGTATAGACGGTCCGGATCGGTCCGGTATAGGACATGCTTTTCTATTTTGGGAATGGGGCCGGCCAGTTTCATTTTTTCCCTGCCTTGCCCACCGAGTTCACAGCAAACAGTTTGTAGTTCTCTCGGGATGACGAATTGGATCGAACCTGTCAATTTCCACATTGTCGAGTTTACCAACTCTAAAGCCAAAACAGTGCCTCTGATGATCAATCGAACCTCGTTCGTGCTTTTCCAACGCAAGATTTTGCCGCACGCCCGTTTGCCAGGGATCAAACGTCTCTGAACTGCCCTCCGACTTGGTCGGTGAAGGTGATGGCGATTGGGTTAGGATAGGCCGATTTTATGCGCAGGACCCTGGAAAGAATACTAGGAGGTCTTCGAGGAATATGATTGACATATTGTCGAGTCAGACCTTATCAGTATAACTAGTATGCTGCGACAATGGGTGACAGCGCTTTCGGCAAATTCCATCATGATATGGATGCAGATTCTGCATCCACCCGTCCTACCGCCACCTGCCGCCCTTGAATTAGAAAAAGCCAAGAAGTGCATCCGCTGTTAATTTATCTGCTGTTTTGACATCCTAGAGTGCCAGAGTTTTAAAAGCCTCTTAGACTCTTAGAGGTTGTATAAGGCTGCATTGGGGCGTGTCCGTTCACTACCCAGACTCTGGGAATGTGCTCTCTACATCCTTCTTTGGCTTTTCCTAGGGATCATAGCTAGGCTAGGTGCATTGCTACCTACCCATTTAATCAATTTAACCTGAATCGAACCTTGGATTCAAGGAATGACTGTCATAAGCCACCTCTGGGCTTCAAAGACAAATGACACGGCTTCTGCCAAACAGGACACAACGCTTCGAGGGATGAATCGCCTTCATCGGTTCCAAATCCACCTGCTCCAAATCCATCGCGGTCCGAATCCCGGAACCCGACCCCAACGGCTTAGCGGATGGGTCCGGAGCTTCGAAGATCTGCCGACGATATGCGATGAGCTTCCTGAGAGCGGCGAGGTGGACCAAATGACGTACGTCAGAACCAAGGGGTTTCGGGGTACGGGGTGGTGAATCCCATCCAGGGGCCGTGGATGTGACGTTCGGGCACCCCGACTACCTCCAGATTCGGCACCCCGTCGAACGTGACTCCTGGCATACTATTTGTGATAGGGATAATCACGATTCACTGTGGTCGCCCGCCGCAAACCGAACTATATTGTTCGTCAGGGTGTTTGGAGTTTTGTTCACATCAAAAAGAATAGAACGCAAAATCAAAGAACCTATTTCTTTCTCTGACGTTCACGCCTTCTGGGGGCTCACAGCCAGTTGGTTGCTAAATCAACCGTGCCGGTGCGGTTTAAATCAACCAATCGAACTCCTCTGCTCGTCTCAAGCGTCTCAAAGGTCTTCGGACGCTTCTGGACCGCCAAGCGAAAGCGCTCCAGGTGCATCATCTTCAACTCCATCTCCTGAGCGGACACTGGTGGACACGCAGCCCGTCTCTTTGCACAACACACGCTTTAGCAGGGTGATCAAAAGAATGTCTGAGGTATGAAACATGCTTCTCTTCATGTGCTGAGAAAAACAAGTATATGCCACCCCATGTTAAGTTCCTCCTGCCCCGCAACTGT